AGACGCCATCGAGTAATACGGCGTTTTTATTTGACTCTGGTATTTTTCCTTCGTAGAGAAACGGCTGGGTGTACAGGTATTCGTCTTGAAATTCCATGAACTGTTCGTCAGACATCGACGTCGTTGCGCGAATAATTCCCTGTGAATGGGGCTGAATTATAACCGGCGAAGCTGGAAACAGCTCCATTTTAAAACAGTCAATTGGACCGGGTTCTGGCTCGAAGCGGTAAATATCATGTTCTACCGAATTAACTTCAACCTGTGCTTGTGCCTGTTTCAGATGGGCGTCCCTGTACGCCAGCTCGATGACATCCTTCGAATACACGCATGCCGGGATATCAGTGGATTCACGGACGTCCTGAGACCGTTTGGGCAAATTTTTAGCCGTCGGTTGTTGCAACACCGGTGCCGGCTGCACCGTCTCAGCTGACATTTGGCTTGCCGCCTCTCTTTCTGCATATTCCCGCCGAATTCTGCGGCTGTAACTGGACTTTTTACGCCTAGGAGAATTCCTTCCCGAACCTTCCGGTGATGGTTCGTAGTTTCCCACGGTGGGTTGTGCTGGATTAACAGCTGCAGATTCGCTCAATGCTTTTGTCTCTGAATGTCATTCCAGATTTCCCACTGTTCATTAATATTAATTTTTGTCACAGCATCATAGGTCGCTCTGACATCCTCCGAAACGAACTCAGACGGCTTCGGCGGCGGTGAGTTACTAATCATTTGAGAATTTATTTCTCTTTGCTTCTCCGCCTGTTTATCTTCGTAGGAGACCGGACACGGGCCGATGTTAATGGGTTTCATACCATCTGCAGGGACAAAGCTACCATTTTCAAATTCTCCTGCTGGTGCCGGGTTATCCACGGAGAAGGTAACTTTACGTTTTCCTGTAGCTTTCTGTGCGTTTAATTGCTCCGTGCGTTTCAAGGTTTCAAAATGCCGGCGATCATTAATCGAGTTTCGACACACGTCGCAGTTCTTCTCGTACCGTTCAATTTCTATTATACAGTCCGGCCAGTAAAATAATTTCACCAAGAACGGATATAGCTTTTCATGCCGGCCATACGCTTGCTTATGAATTAAAATTTCGTGGAAGCAGGCAATTAATTTCTGTCGCCATTGGTGCGGCACGTAAATTCTCGGGCAAGCACCAGAATGATCAGGTACTCTACATAAAATCCCTTCGCATATTACGAATCTGTTAATCTCGTACTTGGTAAAATTCGTATTAGCGTGCGACGGTTTCTTGTACATTTTGTACCACATCCGGCTATCAACACACTGCTGTTGAGTTTCACGCCAGAACTGCGGATCACGGAATCTTTTTTCTGAAGGAAACAGCTGTTTATCCTGTGGCCTGTCCATCGGCGTCATCCATTTCTTCAACTCTGGATTGCGTGCCATGTAAGACGGATAGTCATGGACTTCATCGACGTCTCTGCGGTCGCGCTCAACAGGTATAACATTAAGCAATTTGTTATCCATACTAAGACATTCAACAACCTTCGCTGATTTCTCTAAAACGCCCATGTAGAGATACTTTGCTGCAGGGTGCTGCTTTAATACTGCATCCACTGACGAAATCTGAATCGGAAGTTGCAGGGAGTCGTCACCCCCACGAACTTGACTGGAGCCAGAATTAGGCACAGGACTGACCGATGCCGAAGACGAGGTACTCGAACTGCTTGCCGGTGACGGCTGAACAACTTTTTCCTTTTTAATTGGCGGCTGGGAAGACGCCTGTTCTCTCCCCCGCGAACTTGACTGCATACTATTTATAATTGTTTCACCGCCTCCCCCACGAACTTGACCTGGTTCTGGGTTTTTCTCCACTTTGATTTCCTTTTTAACTGCAGGACGTACAGGTTCATCAGCAACGGAAGCTGCTCTCGGGAGATATTGACGAATCATCTCCTGTACCACGCTACGAACAAATTCTTCGTCACGCTGATCAGATCCTTTTTTGGTCGAAGGCGCCGGTATGGGCGTTACTTCTTTGACTTCCATTTTCGGCGGGGTATCAGCCACTTTTATCGCAGGCGGCGGTTGAACTGGGCGAGGCCACTCCTGCTTAGCCTTCTGTAAGTGCAGGATACAGATTTCTGGGTCTGCTTTTGCTAAAATTAAATGAGCAGATTCGTAAGGCACGAATTTTGCTTCTTTAGCAACACCAATGCGCTCAGTCAACATCAACGCAGGGATTGCGGGAGACGGCTTAACTCCCACAGGAATTAACGGATCAAAATCGTGTGACCTAATGACGTCCGACATCAAGTGAGTTTCGCGACGTAAGAATGCCGGTGCATTAGGCTGCCTACGCGAGAGACGCCAAGTCATCGTGTTCATATCTAGTATAAAAGGCTTTGTAGCTAAAAAGTCTAAACCTAAAACAACGTGGTCCCTATCGAAAGTGGAACTCACAAGCATTGCGTGCTCAAAAGCCATCCCAAATTCGTGGATTGTGACCACTACCGACAACGGCTCAATCAGCTGTCTCCCTTGGTAAGCTGTATGTACAACCCTGCCTTTAATGTGATCAGGACAGCGGTGAATATTTAATTTTAAATCTTTAGCCATTTTGAGAGACATGACTGAAATGCTAGAGCCAGTGTCCAGCATGGTTTTTACTTTCTGATAATTTATGTCAATTACAGAATACCAAGCCTGGGCATCCAGCGTCGGCAACAGGCACACGTGATCCGCTAGAGGGTACTGCGAAAAGTCCTGGACTTCCATTTTGTTACACTGGGGCGTCGGCGAAGACAAACCAGCCGGTAAGTCCAACTCCATCATGTTAATCTGCTGCTGCGGGTTATTGTAGCGTGCCAATAATTCTGCGGATGGCTCATACTGGCGGGGAAGTACAAATTGATTCGTACAACCAGCTGCAGGATGAAGACCATGACAGCGGAAGCAAATCTCGACTCCGCGATTTGTTCGCCATTTATCCTTCAGGATATTTCGTTCATCAAACGGAGGCTGACTACCGGCCTGCTGATTTTGCCGGTAATTCTGGTTATTTTGCTGACGATTATTGTTGTTGTTATAGCCACTTCGTCCGCGATAATTATTATTATTATTTCGGTAATTTCCACGATTATTACCGCCATCATAATTGTTGTTATTCGCAGAGGCATTCTGTTGGTACTGCTGATCGAAATTCTGCACCGGTTGTTGGAATTGCGGCTGCATAACCGGCATCATTGGATTCATCATTTGAACTGGGACAGGCATAGGAGCCTGCATAGGAATTGGTTGCGGGAAGGTCTGCGCAAATTGCACCGGGTGTTGTTGCTCAACATATTGTGGCTGTTGAAACACCGGGACAGGGACAAACTGCGGCTGGGGCACATTCAGGACAGGCTGCACAGGAGCCACCGAATTCTGCGGCTGAGGAATCACTGTCTCCGTGTACGAACGTGAATATCCTCCGCGATTGTTGCCATAATTTCCGCGGCCTCCCCGGTTCGAATAATAATTTCCTCTCTGCGACGAGCCACCGCGGCCGCCTCGATTTTCATAATTCGAATTATTATTATTGTTGCCGGCACTTCTGGGCTCCGCAGGAGCATTTCTCTGAGTTGATTCAGGTGTCTTCTTATCTTTATTCATGCGCTTCCATAACTTTTCGCATTCCTGTAACTTCTTCTCAAATTCCGCATAATTTTTAGGTGCCGCATTATAAATTTCACGGAACCATGCCGGTCGATGCTCCTGTACGCCATCAAGGAGTGCTTCCACCTGCTCTTCATCCGATGTTTTTAGTTCCTCAAACCATGGGAGGAAACTATCCAGGTAAGCACGAACTGGTTCATAAAATTCTAATTTGCGATTATTCATTTTCCTACGAATGTCGGCCTTAGACAGCGAGCCGTTAAAGTGCTCTACAATAGCGGGCTTAAAGAAATCAGACCATGATTTGCCTTTATTATCTTTCCAAAATTTTTCAAACCATTGAAAAGACGGACCGGTGAATGCACCGATTACTCTGCGACACGTTGTTTCATCATTCCAGTTATTCGTGGCTCTGCATTGTTCAACATTCATGAGCCATCTTTGAATTTTTTCCGGATGCGCATCGTCAAAGGCAAGTAACTTCATACCACCTACCGTCTTATCGCTGTCTTTTTCCACAAATTTCGCTAAAAGTTCAACAACGCTTTCTTGTGTAAGCGTCGTTCTATCCGAAATTTGAGTCTGCTTATTCAGCCATTCCTCCAGCTGAGGATTTCTGGACATAGACTCATTGCTGGCCGTGCTACTGGGGCGACGGTGTTCATCCTCCATCAGGGCATCATCCATCAGTTCATTTTCTGTATCAGAACTGTCTCTATTTTCTGTTCCTCGCATCTGGCGACTAGATTCGTCAGCTGTTCTTTTCAGAATTTGTTGGCGTAAGTCTGTTGAGCCATTTTTCCTCTGTTTGGCAGGTGCCGTTTCCCTTGGAATTTGACTTTCTGACGATGAACGCAGCATGGTCTGACCTCCGAGAATTCGACTCGTGATTCCTGTCTAGGCCTCCGCAAGATGCCAGCTGGATTACTACCAGTAGCTAAGGGCTGATCCACGTATGACGAGAAATTTTGGGGATTAAATGGTGTAAAAGCGGGAGGACGTAATACGTCTCCTGTTGCTACCGGCGCTTCCCTTTGAAAGTATCCTTCACCGCCGCCAAGAACAGCATCTGTATTTCGAAGCCGACGAAGTTCGTCAAACGCTTGCTTTAGATCCACTTCCATCTTGGTAAGTTGATCTTGTTTTTCATGCCATTCCCTTCGGCATTGCGCATTTTCTTCATACAGCCGATTACACCTTTCAGACTTTTCATATGCGTCGGCCTGTGCTGTATTTTTCGCTTGAATCGCGTTCTCACAATTATCACATCTTTTATCCTTTTTCGAATCTTTTAATTCCTTTTGGGCCTTTTGGACATTCTCTCGCTCTGTAGTCAATAGACCCTGCAATCTCTCAATTTCCTTTTGGGACGCATCATCCTTTTCCTTGGGAATATGCATCGGGCCGACTGAAGACTTATTGTTCAGCTGCACTCTCGCTTGTGTGAGTTCACGCTGTAGAGAGTCTTCCGCATCTTTAGCCCGTTTCTTTTCATCTTCCAAATCTTTGGTAAGTTTTGTGACCAGGTTCTGCGCATCCGTCAAATTTTTATTAGTTAATTTATGCGCATCTTTCTCAGAATTACAATCTTTCTGAGCTTTCGAGAGCTTTTGGTTCAAATCAGTTATTTGTTTCGTTAAATCCGGTGCTGGTTGCGCACTGAGGCCATCAATCGTAGCTTTCGCGTTTGAAAGATCTCTCTGGGCATCTTCCAACTGTTTTTCAAAATTACGATTCGTGTCTTTTAAAGTATCGCGCTCATCTTGCATTGCATTAAATGCGGCCTCCGCATTTCTGTTGGCTTGTCTTAGACTGTGCAAATTATCATTCGCAATGCGTATTTCGTTAGCCAATCTGTCATTTTCTATTTGTTCATTTTCGAATTTGATACGCATTTCATTGAAATCGTTTTGAAATTTCAATTTTTCGTTTCGTTCCGCATCTACACGAGCGTCTAAAGACATAGTATTACCCATTTCATCTACTTTTGTTTTTGTAGATGCGATGAGCGTGCGGAGACTTTGGATCAATACGGGCATAGTTTGCCGGACTATCAAGCCCACGTCCTGGTCAGTTTCTGCCGCAGCTAACTGCTCATCGACTTCCCTAGCTTGAGTAAGGAAGTCCTCATCTGGTTGCTCAAAATCTTTTTCTGACACAAAACTGTGTAATTTTAGCTGTGCCGGGTGGAATGTCATTGTTCCACCACGAATGCTTTTACTTGCTCTTGTTTCAGATCCCTCAGAAATATCCGCTTTATCCGCAGCCGCCAACGCTATCAAATTATTGTCCGACTGGGACGACTGAGGTTCTGTTTGGCTCTCAGCCACACTTGGGGTTTCCGATATGGGTTCATCCAATATCGCACCGGATGCCTGAACTGGCATTTTCTCCTTGGCACCGCGCGTGACGCGCTCATTTGCTGCTTGTTTTTTGGGAGTTTTTCCGGTTGCTTTTGACGCTGTGAGTGCGGCTTGGGCCGCCTCTCTTCGTCTGTTCAAATCTTCCGTGTATTCTGGCAGCCACCTGTTTGCATCCTGCAAGGCAGCTTTAAACTGCTCATCAGTAATGTCCAGGTAAGCTTCAGGGATACATCCCTCGTACTCAATCCAAGGTTTAAAATGTGCTGGTAATCTCGTTTTGGAATTTAAGTACCGCCTGATTTCCTGGTAATCAATCCATGACTTTCCACAGAATGCATCTTGTGCTTCTGGTGGTTCGACATTAAGAGCGATGTACATTAAATTCAACGGGATTTCTTTTGCATTAAATTTGAACCTTGTCTGAGCTCTCGATCCATCGTACGCCCCAATGATCACTTTGTTATCTGGGATCTTACGCGGTGGTGGGCGATTTCTAGGAATCGAACCGCCCGACATTTCTGCTTTTATTTTAAATAACCCTTGCGGCTAATTAAAATAATACTTACAGTAGCGATTGTGCTACTGATTCCGACAAATACCGTTATTGCTATTGTGCAATAACAATCACTTCCCAATCCTCCTTTAAGGTTTGAATTGTTCCGTGATAATTAAATAACAGCCAACCTTTGCGGTTTCGACTGTAACAACTTCCTAAAATTACACTGCTGCACTTTGCGTGCTGCCGTAATTTTAAGATTCACAGGTCAATCACCGTTTGCCGGTGTTTACCTTTTCACGGTCAACTCTCTCTAGCTGCTGATTTTGGCTACCGCTTGCGGCTTGCCTTTATCAGTCTGCTGGAGATCGTTATCTCACCTGGCCACTGACAATGGCTCGGTGCTTACTATCTGCTCTATCTGCAGGCCAGGTGCACTGACACTGCAGATTACGCTTTATTCGCCGCGGTTACTGCTTTGCGCAGACAACCCGGAAATTACCCACACAGATACCAATTAATTACACAGCCGACCTTTAAGGTTTCGACTGTTTATTCCTACGGTCCAATTTAATTAAATTTAATTTAATTGGCGAGGAAGCTCACCAGTGAGGAAGCTCACAATTGCGAGGAAGCTCGCTGAAAATAAATTAACTAGGCCAGATCAGGAACGCTGACCTCCTTCGGCGTACCTTTGCGGTTCGACGCCTTTCTGTACGGACCACTTTTACCAGTAAATTACCATCAAACTTTCCACCAATAATTTTCTGTTACATCGGGAAAATTAAAAGACACCGGTGGGCGCCATGTCGTGTATAAGCGTTCACGCCGGTTAAGGCTCCATGAACAATCTTTACTCTTCCACGCCTGTAATGCTCAATCGGTAGGCACTCGTACTCTCAAACTGTAACAGAAGAACTATGGTGGAAATAAGACGAACGATCAGGAACACAGAACTCAGGAATCCTCAGGAACAGCTAACCACAACTTCCGGTCGTAAGTCCTGTGAGGATCGGCAAGAGCTAGGACGATTGTGTCACGAGCAAACCTGTATACTAAGCGATAATCCGGGAACAACTATGCACTTCAGTAGGAACAAGTATTGCTGTCTCTTTATCCAATTCACATCACAGTTCACAACACTAGGAAATTGTAATTAGAAAGCAGTCTCAGAAGTAAATCTCAGACTACTGATACCGATATTAGGCATCACAAGAACTTATATAGACTTCGCGTTATGACATCATATACATCGCTAGTAAAAGAGAACAGCAAATCACAGCATTGATTGACTAGATTATCCGTTGTGTTGCAGGTGGAAGGCGGACAGTCAGCATCCGTACGTACATCCGGCGTATGATCCTACTCCCATACGTCA